TGGAGGTTTCCTTTGTTTCAGAGTATGTGATCAATTTTTGAGAAGGTTCCATGAGCTGCAGAGAAGAAGGTATATTCTTTCCTAATTGGATGGAATGTTCTATAGATGTCTGTTAAGTCCATTTGCTTCATTACCTCCAATAATTCTCTTAATTCTCTATTAGGTTTCTGTCTGATTGACCTGTCCCTTGGAGAGAGAGGTGTGTTGAAGTCTCCTACTACTAGTGTGTGTGGTTTGATGTCTGCCTTGAGTTCTAGTAATATTTCTTTTACATAAGTGGGTGCTTTTATGTTAGGGGCATTGATATTCAGGATTGAGACGTCATCCTGATGAATTGTTCCTGTTATGAGTATAAAGTGTCCATCTCGATCTCTTCTGATTGATTTTAGTTTGAAGTCAGTTTTGTTAGAAATTAGTATGGCCACACCTGCTTTTTTCTTAGGACCGTTTGCTTGAAACACCTTTTCCCAACTCTTTACTCTGAGTAGATGTCTGTCTTTGTGGTTGAGATGTGTTTCTTGCAAACAGCAGACTGTTGGATCCTGTTTTCGTATCCAATCTCTTAGCCTGTGCCTTTTTATAGGTGAATTGAGCCTATTACTATTAAGTGATATTAATGACCAGTGGTTGTTTACTCCGGTTATTCTTATTGGTTTTGATAGTAGAGTTTGTGCATCTCCCTTCTTTGAGATGTGCTGGTGAAGGGTCGCTAGATGCCTGAGTTATTGTAGGCAGTGTTGGCAATGTTGGATTCCTTGGGTTGCGATTTTCCTTCTATTACTTTCTGTAGGGCTGTATTTGTGGCTACGTATTGTTTACATTTGTTCTTATCCTGGAATGTCTTGTTTTCTCCATTGATAGTGAATGATAGCTTGGCTGGGCATAGTAGTTTGGGTTTGCATCCATGGTCCCTTAGTTTCTGCAGTACATCTATCCAGGGCCTTCTGGCTTTCATAGTTTCCATAGAGAAGTCAGGTGTAAGTCTGATTGGTTTACCTTTATAAGTTACTTGCCCTTTTTCCTTTGCAGCTCTTAATATTCTTTCTTTAACCTGTATATTTTGTGTTTTGATTATTATATGGCGAGATGTTTTTCTTTGATCCAGTCTGTTTGGTGTTCTCTATTCTTCTTGAATATTTAAATGAATATCTTTCTTTAGGTTGGGAAATTTTCTTCCATAATTTTGTTAAAAATATTTTCTGGGCCTTTGAGTTGTGACTCTTCTCCTTCTTCTATTCCTATTATTCTTAGGTTTGGTCTTTTTATTGTGTCTCATATTTCCTGAATGTTTTCTGTTGATAATTTGTTGGCTTTGCTGTTTTCTTTGATCTGTGCGTTTATTTTCTCTATGGTGTCCTCAGAATCTGAGATTCTTTCTTCTATCTCTTGTATTCTATTGATTATGCTTGTTTCTGTAGACTCTGCTCGTTGACCTAGATTTTCCATAACGAGGTGGTCCTCAGTTTGTGTTTTCTTCCTTGCCTTCATTTCAGTTTTTAATTGTTGAACTGTTTCCATTACCTGTTTGATTTTTTTTTCTTGGTTTCCCAGGGTATCATGTACGTATTTACTCATTTCTTCAAACTTTTTGTTATACTTCTCATCCAATTCTATAAGGGCGTTTTTTACAGGTTGTTTAAGGGACTCTATTGCTTTCATAAAGTCAATTTTTTCCACTTCTTCTCTGTTAGGGTGTTCAAATACTTCTGTTGTAAAATCATTGTGTTCTGGTGTTTTCATGTTGTTTTTCAGGTTATTGGGTGAATTCTTGCCTTGGGGCCTGCCCATCTCTTCCTATTGATCCTATCTAATGGGTCTTTTAAAACTGGATCAGGTTTCCCTGCTGGCCAAGGGTTCCTCTTACCAAATGCCCTTGCTCTGTTTCCTGGTTCCTGCCGCAGGCCAAGAACCCTCTCACCACTCCGAAGGGTCTTCAGAATCATGACCATGCTCCCCGTTTGCCAGTGACCTCGCCAACAAAAGGCCTACCTCTTTGATTTAATTGTAGTGGGGCGATCTGCTCTCGTTATTGTGTGACCGTCCCCGCCTTGTGCGTCTGCCACCTCACCGGTCCCCGCCGCTTACGTCTCTGTTAATCATTTTAAAGGCAAGACTCTTGGTGCCTTTGAAAGACAAGCAGCTGTTGTGCCCTGTTCTTGTACAACCTGTATGATTGGTGACTATTCTTTTCAGTACCTTTTAATATTTTTCCCAGTAATGTATGATAATTTTTTGGTTTGTTCCTAAAACTGAAGGAATGTTAATCTGAGTATTTCATTGCTGTAATAAATTCACTGCTACATTAGCCACATATGGTTTTAATTTTCTCTCTGACCTCCTAGTCCTATATATTTGACCCATCTTGTGCTCTGTTTTACCTGCGATAAAGTTTCAGTCCCTAAAAGCCAGACATTTATCTCCTGAAGAGGTCAATTTTGATGCCAACATTCTGGTGCATTCACAACTGTGTCTACCAGACATCATTGATAATGTCATTATTTCATATTTTTAATTTAGGACTTTGTTCATAATACCCACTTTATGGTTTTTCCAAAATTTTTTGTTCTCTCTTTTATAGCTGTTATATTATCCAGAGCACAATGATTTCTTACAATAGGCATTAATTCTTCAATTGCTCTGAGGAGTTTCCTCCATGATGACTGAAAATGGCTAAACCAGATTTGGCATAAGGGCCTTTTGTAGGCCCCTCAAGGAGTTTCCTGATAGCAAAGGTTTACCTTGAATGTCCTTTGTTGATGTACATTCATTAGTCCAATGTCTGTCTTTGCCACACCTTCTACATAATCTGGAAGGGACGGGTGTTTTGTTTGAATTATGCTTAGAAAAAAACATTGTTTCTAGGAACACTCTGTTTACAGTCTCTTTTAAAGTTACCTTGTTTACCACAATTATAACACTTGACATTTCAATTTTTCCTCAGATATCTGGAAATCACCTCTCCTAGCCAAGTATCATCATGGTCATGAAATTTAATACCAATTATATTTCAAATCCATTCTTGTCATTAAAAACGTTAATTATCCTTTTGCCTTGACAATAAGCATTTTTAAAGACCAGAGATTCAATTATTATTATTCCAGCTTAAGAATTTATTATCATTCTAGTTACTGCTGATGTCAATATTTGTAAGAAATCAGTGATGGTTTCTTTTGGGCCCTATATGACTTTAGTAAATGAATCTTTTTTTCTCTACTTCTTCAATTCTGTCCCAAGTATTCAAAGATACTGACTTGTAACCCAAAAGTTTGGTGCCAGATTTTGCCTGAATTCTATTTGATATTAATAATAAAAGCCCAGAGTCAAATATAGGGGTTAATGCTAAAAATCAGAGAAGTAGAGAGTCCAGCCACTGGAGAGTTATTTTACCTCTACCAATGAGGCAATCCTGTCCTTAGACTGCATCTCCAGACTGAACCTGTCTCCACTAAACCTCAGACTGCAACTTTCTCCACCAAACCTCAGACTTCCCTAAGCTCCTGTCTCCTTCAGCCTTAGATTCCTCTCCCCACCCAGCCATATCATTCCTGTCTTCATCTCCCTAATGCTGGTATTAAAAGTGTGTGATTTTAAGAGCTGGGATTATCTTGGCATGAGCTGTTTCTCTTTTAGGCAGATTCAATCTTGTGTAGCCAAGAGTGGCCTTGAGTTATCATCAATCCCTCTGCCTATTTTCTGAGTCCTGAAATTAAAGGTGTGTGCCACCACTCCCTGGCCTCCAGTGGCTTAGCTCTACACTCCGATCTTCAGACAAGCCTTATTTGTTAAAATATCACTATCTCTCTTTGTCTCTCTCTCTCTAAAGAATTTTTTTCATTTATTCATTTTACAACCTCTCTGCAGCCTCCCCCATCCTCCCCTGCCAGTCCTTCTTCCCCATTCCCCTACTCCCACTCCCAAATCCCCTCCCTCTTCCATCTCCATCCAGGAAAGAGCATGTTTCCTGAAAATATCAATAAAACATGGCATATCAAGTTTCAATAAGACTAAACAGCTCCCCATTATTAAGAATGGGCAAGATGACCTATTATAAGATGATATAACGTCAGCTTGCCCTGAGGCTGTCCATGTATATTAAGTAAAGTACTCACTGTGTATAGGAATCTGTATTTTGATGGTGCTTGATCTATCCACAAAGAAAAATTAGGAATTTATTATAAAATGCTCCTATAAGTCTTAATTGTGTTTTTTTAAAAAAAAAACTTGTAATGTTAGACTTGTGTGCATGAAAGTAATTAAGGTACATCATTATTGTAGTTTAAACATTGTACATGATAAGCCTCCCCCACCCCTGCTTTTACTGTATGTTTTTATTGAATGATCTATACCCCATCACTAGGCAAACATGAATAAAATTAGGTTAAATGTAAAAAAAAAGTAAAAGAAAGAAACGGGGTCCCAAAAGTCAGTAAAAGAGTTGGAGACATCTCTTGCTCCCACTGTTAGAAGTCCCCTAAGAGGGCCAAGGTATATAACTGTAACATATATGCCGAGTGTCTATGTCAGTCTACCAGGCTACCTGGTTGTTGGTTTAGATTCTGTGTGTCCCTATAAGCCCAGGTTAGTTGATTCTGTGAGTTTTCTTGTAGTGTCCTTGACCCATCAGACTCCTGCATTCCTTTCTCCTCTTCCATCTCTGCAGGATTCCCAAACTCTGCCTAATGTTTGTCTGTAGGTTTCTGCATCTGCCTCCATCATCTGCTGGGTGACACCTCTCTGATGACAACTGGGCCCAGCACCGATCTGGTCACAGGATGCCCAGTTCAGGCTCTTTGTTCACTATTGCTAGGAGTCTTAGTTGGGTCCTCCCCATAGGGGAGTCAGGTCTCCTGATGAAATAATATCTAAGGAAATATGTACTCCTTCTATTACAAATGTGAGAGAAAACATGAAGTATTTGTCTTTCTAAATATTCTGTATTTCATTTAAGAAGATGATGTCCAGTATTCTAACGTCCTTTTCACTTATCTCCCCTTGACTAGGTGGAGTTGGCTCCTGATATTGGCCTTCAATACAAAGGAGAGCTAACGGTTGTCTTTCGATACATTCCTCCAGAGGAGAGCCCTATATTCCAAGTAGAACAACCTCAAGGTAGGGTTAAAATCAATACCTCTTATCTGTCACATTGTAGATATTAGGGTTTGGATGGACTGTGTTACATATGTAGTATAATAAAAATAGGGTTTGGGATCTTTTGAGAGTTAAGAAGTACATGCTATAACATATGTGGAGAAGAAAAGTACAGGACAAAAATCCATACTTATAAGCCAGCCCTGATAGGGAGATTATTTACTGTCAGTCCAAGAGATACACAATCTTTCCCCAGGGGGAGAGATGTGTTGTGTGAGGGGATTTCTAGGAAGCTGTTCTATGGACTCATTCACAGCTACTCAGGGAGTCTAAAAAAGAAATATCTGGCATAAAATATAGAAAACAAAGGGGAATCTAGAAGAAATCTATTTGAAATTTTCCTTTTCTTCCTCCTTTCATCAGTGTCTTAGGCAGCTTCCTTTTTCTTTCCATTCATGGTCACCATTTTCAGGGCTTCCCCGTGAAAGGAACTCAGCTCTTGGTCTGAGTTTCCTCACTTCACTTGTCCATAGTTCTTTGTGGCGGGTTGAGACCCCATGTTGTTTTCCCATCTAATTTGGCAATGCAATATGGTCAGTCCTGAAAATACACATACAAATAACATTATTCAGATTGAGCAGGTAATAGTTAGGAATAAATATGTATGTACATATATGCACGTAATAACAGCCAATGAAAAAAGAGACCATTAATTTGAAAGAGAGCAATGGAAGAATACATTTTGGAGTTTGGAGGGAAGAAAGAATAGGGGAAATGATAGAATTATAGTATAATCTCTGAAAAAAGAAAAAAATTTAAGAGGGTTGTGAGGATTAAATAGGTTCATATATGTAAAGGTGGCAGTCATGTAGTGGTTATTGCTCATGTTTAGTCTATTACATCAAAATAAATATTAAAAGTGACAAGGTTTTCTCCCAACCACAAAATGTAACTGACTCTAGGTTGCACCCTCTAAACCTGACCCTTCCTGAAGCTGACAATTTATAAAAAGGGGATTATTGAATAGACCCTTTGGAAGTAAGGTTAATATATCCAAGTCATAGAAATGTCTCTCTTGCAGCTCTGGGACTTGGGTCTGGCCTTCGCAATAGAATAAGATGATGGTGCTGGCAGGATGTTTTCCATTATTCTATTCCTTTAGAATCGTTGCATTTTTCCTTTACAGAAGCTTTGTGTGTGTGTATGTCTGTATATGTATACAAACATACACACATACATATGACAAAAAGGCTTGATTGTCAGAAAATGAAGTAGCTTTTTGTAGATGTTCTTGGTAAATTATGAAGTAGAATCTCCGATCTCCTCCACTTCCACCTCCTCTCTGCTGGTTCGTGCAGGAAAGAAGATCTTTAAAAAGGGAAAGAAGAAAGAGTCATCTGTCATCTCTGGGGGAATACTTGAAGTGTTCATCAAAGAGGCAAAGAATCTGACAGCAGCCAAATCGGGAGGCACTTCTGATAGCTTCGTGAAGGGGTAATTTTGCTCTAGCTCATCGCCCATGACACTTCCTGGGTACTGAAAGGAGCTATGATCCAGTAGACAATGGTAGTTGTGAAAGGCCCACGTTCTGCTTATTGCATGCACGTTGGAAAAGCTACCCTTACGTGTTTGCTCTTTCATCTAAAGCAATGTGAGTGTGGGACAGAGTTGCTGTTCTGGCTCTCACTGTGTCTCCAGCAGATTTCTGGAGGGCCACTGTGAGGATCGCTCTCACCCTGACTGCCCAAGGAGATTCCTTTCTAAAAAGAGAAGAAAATATGATGTTCTATGTATAATTTACTTTTATTTTTGTTTTGTTATCATTTGGTACACCAACAAAAATACTAAATACTTGCTGGTTTGCTCTGTTGGGGAAAATTGTAAAATGCAGAAAAATTTCAGCATCTTCCCTAAAGAGTGTTTGAGGCAGGCTCCAGGACTACTTGATATACATTTATTTCCATGTGGAGCAAATGACATTTTCTTGAGGGAATACTACCATTTAAATGAATATTCTTGCTCGTTCTAGGCCTTCCAAATAGCAAATAGTCTAGTTTCTGACTATTGTAGACTTTTCTCGTGTAATTAGAAGAAGCTGGGCTAAAGGAATATTTTTCCATTCATTCAAGCAAACACTCAGATGTATATGTACCACGAATTAGATGCTGATCTTTGAAAAATAGATATGATAGCTGACCTCACAGAGAACCATGAAGTAAAGCCAGTTCCCATGATGCCAAGCCATGGGAAGAATCTTTGACAGAGATGTTGCCTCTTTGAAAAGTGATCCAGGCCTGATAGCAGTGCCTGAAATACTGGTACTGTGGACCCTGAGTCAGGAAGATCACAAGTTTGTGTCCATCCTGGAATACATGTAGCAGTGCCAGACCAGCAGGGGACAGAGGATGAGATCCTGCTTTTTTGTACAATCTTTTTTTTAAATTTTATTTAAAATTTTATTCATTTTATATACTGACCACAGTTCCCCCTTTCTCTTCTCTTCCTGTTCACCATCTCCTGCCTACCATCTTACCATCTACCCTATCCACTCCTCCTCCGTCTCCATTCAGAAAGGGGTAGGCCTCCCATGGGTGTATTTTCCCACAGGAAATAAGTCATACCTTTATTCTTATATGTTTTAAGTTCAGTAAACCATATATTGATGAGAGTAAGATGACTAGGGTTTCCCCATTGTTGAATTGTGTTCTTTAGCATAAAAGACACACTGTCTTTGAGTCATACTGCTACAGTCCAACTTAGGAAGCCCCGCATCCAGTTTAGGACTCTGCTCCTTACTGTCTTGTATGGTAAAAATATTGTTCCTGGCCTGTGGCTCTAACATGCCCTTCCAGGCATGAGTTAATATTGTCTGGAACAGCTTTTACATGCTCTTGTTGAGAATTTATGAAGGACAAATGATAAAGAACAGTAATTCATCCTATTTTTTAAGCACTAACTTTTCAGTGAATACTTAAATATTAAGCCAATTTAAAAATTATCCAAGGAGTTGGAGAAATGGTTCAGTAGTAAAGAGCACTGGCTGCTCTTGTAGAGGACCCAATTTCAATTCCCAACACCCACATGGCAGCTCGCAGCCATCTCTAACTCCAGACTCAGGAGATCTGATGCTATCTTCTGGTCTTCATAGGCATTGCTTGCACATGGTACATAAACATACATGTAGGGAAAACCTTCATATACATAAAAATAAATACCCTTAAAGAAAAAATTGATATATAATTTCAAAGAGCCAGAGAGCAAGCAAGAACAGATACATAGGTAATGTTATAAAATATGTAAATTACATAATTTCATATTCTCTACTTATGAACTGAAATATTTGTGACTTAAGAAAGACATTAGGGCCCACAAGATGGTTCGGCAAATAATGGGAAATGGGCCTGCCACCAAACCTAATAGGCCAATTTTGATAGCTGGAATCCTCTTGGTCATGATAACTGACTCTCACAGGTTAACCTTGGTCTTCCACATCTATGTCATGGCTTGCTCTCATACATATTTATGCACATTCAAAATAAATATTAAAAAAATTAAAAACCACTTTCTCTTACATTGAAACAGTGATTGAAGGTAACTTATCTAGGATAGATGTGGAAATATCATGTTTATCAGGGACAAAGGAGTTTTTCTATATCATTATCGTATCTTCTCCATGGACCAAGATACCTAGTTATACAGAGTTCAGCCATCCTATGCAAATCCAAGCTTATAGGGAGCTTCCTGTAACTTTTTCATAGAGGTACTTGTATTCTATTGACCAGAACCTAGGTCTGTAGCTATGTGAATTGTAAGACAGCTTTATGGTCTTTATTCTGGGGAAACGTGTGTTCAAATTTAGAACCAAGGTTTTCTTTTAATGATGGATACAAAAATTGAAATAAGATAAAATGTAAGATGGTAACAATAAAAACTAGGAATTTTAAAAGAGAATAAGCGTAGAATGGAGATTGAGAAATAACAGTGTTCGCTGATTAATTTATTAATTTTTTCCCCTTTTTGGTGGTAGTGCCAGGATCAAACTCAGGTCCTTGCTCAGCAAGCACTTTGTCATTGTCCTACTTACTCATGCTGACCAATATAGTAAATGAAATACAACATGACTCAATTATCTTCTTTATCCCTGGGCCATTTACTTGTATTTTTCATAATTGTTTTATGTACTGATTCCATCTACACTCATTTTCTTCCCCAAACCATGTGTTTTGAAGGCACAAAGGTTTTTGAGACTTACAGTTTGAACACAGTAGAGAAGACCTAGGGCACAGGTAGTCTATCAGAGAAGGGCTTCCAGGAAACATCAGTGAAAGAGTGTAGACCATGAAACAAAAGACAGAGGGAAGCAGTTTTAAAAGTTATGTTAATGGAAAGGTTATCGCTGTAGGGTTCAGTTCCACTGGGAAAGAAAGCAGCAAGAACTCCATGTAATGTTCTTTAGGAGTATCCCTTGAAGAACTGCAGAACTCATCGGCCTTTTCTAAAACCCACTGCTTGGGTTAGCCTTCAGTCCTCAGTAACTCTAGGTACTCTGAACATGAGGGAGTAAACTCATGTAAGACGGGTAAGAAGCTGAAAACATTCAGGAATTATCCACCTTAGCTGCAAATCAGTTTACAGATACATACAAACAAACAAAAACATACAAAGTCAAACAATAGTGGCTACCACCAGGGGTCTTTTCTTTACCAGATGGAGAACCAAATATTTGGAAGGGTTTGAAAAGACAAAAATTGTAATCAAAAATGGAGGAAGGGCATTTTACTATTGTAAATGTATTTACTAGACATCTCTCCAAATAAGATATCAGGGAGAGAACATCAAGAATGCATATTGTAGTCACATACAGTTACACAGAATTGTAGGAGATCCAAATGACAACTCAAAGGTTGCATTTTTACTTTCCCACCAATGTAACTGTGTTTCCTTCTGCAGCTACCTGCTTCCTGATGATAACAAAGCCACCAAGCACAAAACGGCGGTTGTCAAAAAGAGTATTAACCCTCAATGGAATCATACATTCATATTCAGCGGCCTGTATCCTCAGGATATAAAGAATGTTTGCCTAGAACTCACCATCTGGGACAAGGAAGCCTTTTCCAGCAACATCTTTCTAGGAGGTGTTCGTTTAAATTCTGGAAGCGGTAAGGAATTGAGAGAACTAGAGCTGGTGTATGACTGGGCATGGGCAACAGTGATTACTCCAGGTGTGATATGCTGTAGATTTTTATGTAGTGTGAGCTACAACTAGCTCCTGAAATAGCCCAGGTGCCTCATTCTTTTAGATGGAGATCTGATCACTGTTAAAATGTGTTTCTGTAACAACTTTGTATTCTTAGGCTTAAAGTTGAAGAAATGTTATATTTGATCCTTTCATAGAAAAATCTTCAATACATTCATATAAGGGAATTTCAAGTACTTTTTTGGGTCTTAATGTTTTGCTTAAATGAAAATCAAGACAGGAGAGGAAGGCCTCATAAGGTTGTCTTTACTTCATCTTCCTTTCACTTGTGTCTAGTACTTCAACAATGATCAAGCAATGTGTTCTTAGTTTGCTTTCTATTGCTATGATAAAGATAACAATGTGAAGCAACTTGGGGAAAAGGGGTTTATTTCACTTTAGTGCCTACTTCATCATGAAGGTGAATCAGGGTAGGAAGTCAAGGTAGGAACATTGAAGCAGAACTGAAGCAGAACCACAGAGGAATCCTGCTTACTTGATTGCTAAGCCTGATATTTTTAATATAAGCCAGGACCACCTGCCTAAGGGTGGAACTTGCCCCCCCCAGTGAGCTGTTTCCTCCCACATCAATCAACAATCAAGAAACTGCCCCCACAGACTTGTCCACAGGCCAATCAGATGGATGCATTCCCGATGACCTGAGTGTGTCACGTTGATAGGATACTAAACACAGAATGAAAACAAATAACTCACGTCATAAAATATAACAAGGTGTGAACTAGGTAGGAAGACATCCCGGTGGTCAAATGCTTTAACACTAGAAGTGCACATGAACTAACACTGGAAGACCCCAAGTCTCTTTACCCCATATCTTAGGCCAGCCATGTGCCATGTCAACATTTTGGTTGAGAAAGTCCCCATTTATATGACACTTTTTTTTTTATAAATTAAGGATCTTGAAAAACCAAAAAAAAAAAATTAAGGAGATCAGGGAATACATGTGTCAGTAAAATTGAAACCTCCAGGGTCAGAGAGTAGCTGTGTTTGAAATAGAGATCTTCATATCTCAGGGCATATTGTGAACTCACATTGACTTGGTTTTGATGAGTTGGTTCTATCAAAGTCAGGAGAATATGAGTCACCAGGGGCCACTCTGGTTACTCTGTTCAACCTAAACAGAAGGAAATAATGCAGGCTTCAAAAGACTGACTCGTTTTAACACCTCTCACTAGATATGGGAACCAAGAAGAGGTCCTCAGAGATTGTTACTTGCCTTCTAGAAGCTCCAGCCCCTGTGTGAAATGTTGTGCCCCTTTTTCTCTTCTTCAGGTGTCAGTCATGGGAAGAATGTGTACTGGATGGACTCTCGAGGAGAGGAACAACGCCTTTGGCAAAGGATGATTGACAGCCCTGGGGTATCTGTAGAGGGCATTCTCATGCTGCGATCCAGCATGGCAAAATGGAGGCTCTGAAGGGATCAGTTCTCCAAGAACTACATCTCTGGTTGCCTACTGTTTTCTCTAAGCAAACACTGGGCCCTTGAATTATGTTGCCCTGTTATTTCTCACCTCTTAGGACATGAGAGGAGATATGTCAGTGTTGTGAACATCTAGGATCTTGCTGATTGTCTGAAAAGCATATCCTTCTATATGTTCCCCCACTCAGGTTTCCCTGATTAGATGATAGGAAGTGGACCCCACCATCTTGCCAACAAGCAGACTGTGCAATGGCTCATGGGCTTTATACTGACCGCAATGACAAGAGCTTACTGGAAAATATTGCTGGGCTCCTCAACTCTTTTCCAACCAAGTTACTTAAGTTTTCTTCAGTTTGAGAAAAGAAGGAAACACCAAGAAGGTAGATTGCTTAGAGACTAACAAAGAGAGAGATCTTTGTCTTCTCAGCAGATTGCCTGTAATGCAAAGAAGACATGCTAGGGGTGGTTTGGGAGAAGTCAGGCTCCTTTTGAAAGTGAAGAGAGCTCCATGATTATACACACTCACACTAAAAAAACAAAAGAAAAAACAAAAAAAAAACAAAATACAAAAGCAGACACAAACTGGAATGTGTGTAGAGAAATTAGAATGTAGGACCATCTTGTTGATAAACTAGGAATTAGAGAACTCTGTTACAAAAATTATTTCATCAAATATTAAAAGCCATTAAGTATAAGGAAATAAGAAATAAGCAATTAATTCTTATCTTTACATTTTGTTTACTAGTGAGACTAGTTAAGTGAAAAGGGAGATACTCCACTGTTTGCTGTGCTGCTATAGGAAAGAGCTAGGAACTCCATGTTCTCTCTTTCATTTTCTCTTTACCCAAGTAATTACTGCTTTCTTAAGCTATTACAATGACAAGTAACAAACCACCCCAAAAATCAATGACTTAAAATGAAAATCAATTTTTTGGGTGTCTATGAAGGTTGGCTAGGAGAACTCTGTTTTTTCCTTATAAGCCCGAGGGTCTAAATCAGGTACTTATTTCTCAATCCTCATTAGACCAAAAGAATAGCCTGAGTATGGTGATAGCAGAGGTGTACTTGGATAAGTCCCACTGCTCAAGCACATAAGTGTCTTGTACCTCATTGGTCAAAAGGAAGCCATATTGCTAATACCAAAATCAATAGAAAAGGAAATATGCCTTGCCCAATGACAAGAGTGAAGGTTCAAGAAAGGATGGTGAAAGAGAGACAAGTAGTTGAATGTACTCTACGTCTTGTCATTTATGTGCCTAAGCTACCAAATTTAGAAGCAAAGTCAGGTAAATCCAGAAAGGATGCCAAGTCTGGTTCTTTATTTTGTGGGTTACAACCTTGCAGTCCAGAGAACTGAAATAATTTGTCTACGGTCGTGTAGAGGCTGTGACTGAATCTGGACAGTTCCTAGGCAACTTTGACGTGACTCTATGCTTATCAAGGTGGATAGAAGATGACATGTCAAAGAAAGTAGATCATGGTTTGATTATGTAAGCATAAACATACATAGTCTATGCCAGGTGTGGTGGGTTACACTTGTAATTCCAGCACTTTGAAGGTAGAGGTGGGAGGATCAGGAGCCCAAGGTATGCCTTGGCTATGTAGAGAATTTTAAGCTATCCTGGGCTTATCTCAGTGGCACCTCATGTACCAAAATATGTATGCTCCAGATGTTATGGAGTCAGATTCAATCCCCCATAGCTCATTTCTTCATTTGAATACATGTAAACATGCAAACCCTTTAAAATATAGCAAATGAATTTTAGTAGTAGAACTAAAACCATGTTCAGATTCATTCCACAGAGTAGTTGAAGTAATAAGGGTGGCGGGGCTGCGTCCCCAGCACCCCGGCTACCTGCTCAGCGGCTAGCTTATGCCCCGAAATAACAACACACAAACTATATTCATTTAAACACTGCTTGGCCCATTCTCTTCTAGGCTAATTCTCACATATTAATTTAGCCCATTTCTAATCATCTGTGTGTAGCACCCCAAGGTGCGCTTACCGGGGAGATTCTAGCCTAGTCCATCCTGGGTCGGAGCTTCATCCCGGGAGCGGGGCATGGCGTCTCTCTCAGGCGTCTGCTCCCGAGAGCAGAGCTGTTGAATCTCTGAGCTCACTTCCTCTTCCTCCCAGCGTTCTGTTCTGTTTACTCCTCCCACCTATCCCCTAACCAATAAAATGGGCCAGGGCAGTGCCTTTATTAGCCAATGACCTTCCTCCATCAAGTAGTTGCAAGTTTATAGGTATGTTTTTGAAATTTGAAGACTAATTTAAGAATCTATTTAATATTCTTCATAGTAAGGAAACACACAAACCATTTAAGCATTATTCAAAAAGAGACCATCTGTAGAAAACTTCACCTATCATAGCTCAATAAATACAGTACTTCTTAAGAATTTACATACCATTATTCTGTCCTTCTCAAAAGCAGGAAAAACCTATATGCTTGGTACTATTTCCTGGATCATGAATAATAAAAACCCAGAGACAGATATTGGGGTGCAAGGTGAAGATCAGAAGGTAAAAATAAGCCACTGGAAGCCAGACAGTGGTGTCACACACTTTTAATCTCACGATTTGGAAGACAGAGGCAAATGGATCTCTGTGAGTTCAAGGCCACCCTGGGCTACACAAGATCAATACAGAACCAGATGGTGGTAACTCACACCTTTAATCCCAGCACTAGAGGGGAAAATAAGATGGGAGGAGACAGGCTCAGGGCTCAGTCTGCAGTTGCCCAACTTTAGTAGAGGTAAGAGGTAGTGGCTTGGTTGTTTTGCTTTTCTGATCTTCAGACAAGCTTTATTTATTAAATCATAAATAGAACATCAGTATAATTTCCCACATTGGAAAATAAATTGTCTTCAAATGTGATGGGACTCAAACACTATTCAGTGACATTTAGGGGATGTGAGAAGCTGATGACGGTGAAGCCTGTCTCTGGAGTGTATACAACAAAGTAGATTTATTCACTAAGAAAATGTGACTAAATGATTTTTAAATTTACAACTTAAACTCAAGAAAAGCATGAATCTTCGTGTCAGGTCAAATTCAAAGCAATTCTCTGTACAATGGTTTCATGATATCCTGTGTCTAACTGGATATTTCTATAAAACAAACCCCACATATACAAAAAAAGATCAGAAACCCACTCTCGTTGCTCCTGGAAACAAAAGCAAACACCTTAAGATCATTCTCTTTTTCTAAATGTACATACAAAACAACAGTTTAAAATATAAGTGGGATGTGTTGGTAGATAGCTGGAATCCTAGCATCTGGGAGACTAATTCAGGAGGACCACAAGTTCAACATCAGCCTAGACTACAACAAGAGCCTATGTCAGAAGGAAAATATTCTATGAACGGCATAGAATTCAAGAGCTTAAAAACTATGAAGAGCCTTGTCCACCACTTCCACATGTCAGTGTCAGGCTTTTCTATGCCTGTAGAGTACTGCTTCATAGCAGTCCACTGAATATGTTCAGCTGGTATTAGCAGAAGCCACAAGAAATATGGGTAAAACATCTGTGCTCAATGGCTTCTCCAAGCAATCTTTTCTTTTTAAAAACACTTTGAAATTCAAAATGAGATATATATTTTACTCAGCCCTCCACTTTCATACATCTTCCCTACAGAAGTAGATACATGTATTTCTTGCTCCTTTTTTGCCCTGAAGCAAAATAAGTCAAGAAATCATATTGAGCCTACTTCTTGTGTTTCCTCGTCTCTGTGATATTACCCAAAGCCGAACTAACATCACTGCTTTCCATGACTATTTCAGTAGTCTCCTAGCTTTAATCATTTTGAATTGCTTATTATTATTTATTGTGTGTATCTGTGATGCATGTGTTGAATGTACATGTGGAGGTCAGAGAACAGCTCTGTGGACTCCTCTCTTTCCATCTTCACAGTTGACCTGAAAATAAAATACAAATTATTGTATGTGGTCCAGAATATGAAGACCACTGCCTTTTCTCTAGCATATCCCAAGCTGTGCCTCCCCTCCCCATCCCCATCCTCCCTTTCTCTTAAGCCACCTTGTGGACTTTTTTTTTTGTTCTCATTAATGTAATCCCCATAAATCTTCCAGGTCTTAACTGCTACTTCCTCAGGAAAACCTTCCTGATCGTGTGCTAAGCTAGGCCACAGAAACTTGCTTTCATTTCCCCTCCATGGCACCCATCACAATTACATTAAATTATTCATGTAATGAAACTTTTCATGCCCATGTGTACTGTCTCTTCACTTAAGATTCATAAGGGCAGGTGCAATACATTTTCATAGCAGTATCCCCAGTGCTTGGCTGAGAATAGGTGATCAAAGAAAAACAAAATAGCTCCACAGAGCATTACATAAGTAAGCAGTTTTTAAAGCTACTCTTTCGAAGTGCGAGGGGAAGGAGGAGATAGAGCAAGGGTGGATAGGGTCTTGCATGTCTTAACCAGGGATTTGGGTCATTGGCTGAATGAAATGGGAACTACTGAGAGTTCTGAGCCAAAGAATGGTAAACTAGAATGTGTTTCAACAGCATCCCCCTAGCTGCTGTATCCAGGACATGGCGAAGAGAGATCAGCTTGCAACACTCAGTCTATTTTCAACTACAAGTAACAAAAAATACCCTTAAGATTATATAAGAGTGTAACTGGATTATCATTCGTAAGCCTGTAGGGAGGGCTTTTATTCTAGTTTGCACAGCTGTGATTTGCAGGCTGTTTTCCCCTGGATTAAGATTTCTGATTCTTCATCACTGTTATAGGTATAACGCTGATGATTATTAAGATATCTGCATGAAAATTGAAGAAGGGAGAGAATGTTGGCATTTTTCTATTTAGTATATAGCCTGTAAGTGCCAAATGCTCATATATTTTCTTTTTTTAATTTATTAAAAATTTCCACCTCCTCCAATCCTCCCATTTACCTCCCACTCCCCTTCCCACTCCCTCTGCAGTCCTAAGAACAGTCAGGGTTCCCTGCCCTGTGGGGAGTCCAAGGTCCTCCCCCCTCCATCCAGGTCTAGGAAGGTGAAAATGCTCATATTTTTATCCAATGTTTTAACACAAGAAGAAACCTGTCTATGTTTTCCTTTTTCTCTAAATGAGGCTGAAATGAATGCACACAATTACAGTAAAGTGTAAGTCAGTAGACTCTG